TGGCCTCGAGGAGCGAGCTCTTTTGCAGCAAGCAGCGTCTTGGCACAGATTGTACTAGTAAGAGACTGCTGTGCACAAATAACGTCAATCGAGTCGTTGACCAGTGCCAGAGCAAGAACCAAAGAGCGCCGCGGTATGCGGACGGTCCACTGCGACGATCGGGTGCAGTCGTCGGTCGATGTGAACGGCGCCTGCACATACGTTTGAGGCTCGAGATACGTGCAGAAAGGGCTGCCGCCATAAACCAAGAGGTTACTTGGCCACGCAGGCGGCACGGGCGTCACCACCAAAGCACCGTCAAGTGCCGAGTACAAAGCTGCGGACGATGCATTCAAGGTGTCGTGAAACGCAGAGATAAGGTCGGTTGCCAAAGCGCCGACGGGCGACAGCACCGGCACGATGTACAGATCGATCGCTAGAAACGGTCCCAGCGTATCACGAACGACACCGATGTGGCGCTCGTACGGGCTGAGACCAATAAAGGATTCGAACGGCCTCGGGGATTGGCCATCGCACCATGTATTGAGGATATCGTCCGGTGTACCACGAATAAGACTCGCGTTGCAGTGGCCGGCAAATAGCAGATCCAGGACAAAGGGAGGGCTAAAGACGACGGTTGTCCAAGGGCCCTGGCTCTCGACGGTGCTTTTCAAGATGACACTCGTCTCCAGACCAAACACATTGCGGAGCGTCACTGTCTCGACAAGACCCGGCAGAAAGAGGTTGTGCCACTGGTAGCGAAACGCGCCAATGCCATGGCGCTGCCAATATGCCACTTCTTCGTCGACACTGGTCGCAACCGATGCGATGGCATCAAGCCATTCAACGCCCGCGACCGTCCCTTCCAGACCACGCAGAATCGCAATTTCGTAGTTACTACCAGGAGTATGGTACGCGGCCGCAAAAGCATGACGGTCCGTGTTGCGCAAGACAGACTCGAGGTACACGGCGCCGTTGGCAGCGTACTGAGCGAGGCAGCGCTGCTGACGAGCCGCCGTATGCGCGAGCTCAAACGCCTTGTTAAAGTCAACCCAGCAGTACTGCGTCGGCTGCGCCATCAAATTATCGTCAACCGACGTGTTGCGGAGGCGCGCGATGGCACCCGGTAGCGTCGTTAGCTTGGCCGAGGCCAGCGCCATCGCGTATGTTGGATGTACAACTGCTGTAGCCAGCAGACTGCTGTAGCGCGCCTCGAGCATCACCAAGTGCAAGTCGACAGTCGAGCCATCTGGCGCCGTCTCGAGAAGTGCGTTTAGAATGTCAATCAGGAAGGCTTGGTACCCGGACGCATTGAAGTGAGGCCAAAGGAGGTTGTTGGCAAGCGGCGGCTGTAGCAAAAAGAGGTAGTAGACGCTTCCGGCCAGCGTCATGCAGAGCCACGTCATGCCCAAAAGCATCGACGCGCGTTGGTGGCGGGACCGCAGCTCGTGAGGTGGTGCTGGTTGCACGCGCATCGTCGTGGGTTCGGAGGCTGGACTTGGTGCGAGTTGCGTCGGTAGCAGTTGGAACGTTACCTATCAAGCCGTTACTCGGGGGCCTTGTAGGCAGCGCAGCGAGCCATGGTAGGGAGCATCGCCTTGTCGATCTTGGCACGGCCCGTGGATTCAACCGGCCTGCACACGTACTACCAACAAACTAGCAGCTAGGCTAGTGAAGCACATAGTCGAGGAGAGAGGACGAGGAAGAGGGATGGGCCGGACAAAGGCGCACGGGATGTGCGCAGTCGGGTGGTCAAATTGAAGTGAGGCCGCAATGGCTCTGACCTGTGATGTCAAATATAACGAGAGAGACAGCCCGCCACGTTCTCCAATTTGCAGTCGTTACTCGATTCTGCTGCAGAACACAACTGCAGCCGTCGCTGCGCTCAATATTAGTGTCATGCAGATTGCCTCGGATGTGAGCCGAGCCAACAACTCGCTGGTACTGCAGCCGCTACTAAAGCCACCTTCACATTCCACGGTGGATCCTCCTCTTGGACTGATTGCCCGTGTCCGTGAAGTGATAACACTACAATGCGACTACGGAACATCGCCCGGTCCAAGCCACCATCAAAAACAGTATCACCTAGTTATGAGATTGCTACATTGGACTACCAAGTGGTGTGTGTGGCAGGCAGTGTCGTGATTGGATCATTGGAGCGACTTCTGCCTCTGGTGAGTTTGGTGATTGTCTGCAATGGCGTCTGTTTTGGTCTGGTGCGCCGTCTCTGGAAGCGGCCGCATCCAAATGTGAGCTCGTCGATGCTGCTCTGTGGCGGAGCCAAGTGCCTCTTTAGTCACGACGGCTGGATGGATGAGGATGGAACGTACTTTTTGGACCGTGCGTCGGCAGTTCTGAATGGGCTGCTGAGCGTTTGGTATCAAAATCAGTGGGTCGTCGTTGACGTCAAGACGTGGTGCGTCCACAAGCTCGAGGTGGGCCATCTCCAAACTATCGTGAGGCGAAGCCAGGCTTGAGTCGTCGTATTTTCCACGCGCCCCCCCTTTCTTGCCACATTTAACATCGGTTTCCAGCCACATTTAACATCGGTTTCGCACGGCAAGCAGCATTCGTAGTGCGTTTTTTGTTTCAACGACAACAACGTTCAAGTGGTGTTTCTTGCTTTCGATAGTCGCCTCAAACCGCTGGTTGGAGTCCTCGGTAGCAATCTGGTATTAGCAAAATGATGTCGTTGGGTCTCGTGTATGCGACTGTTTTCGGTATATCGTGGGGCAGGTCGAAACGCCAGAGGCGTAACCGATTGGTTTCACAAAAGGCAGCTCATGCGCGTCCAGCCGATGATAGACCCTCGCGGTGACCCACCGCGGCTCGGATGGTTCATCTTGGGTGCACTTTGGCTCTGTGCGACACTGGCAGGTAGCATCTACTACCTACGGTTGCTGCAACCACCGCTCGCCAACGATCTTCTCTGGCCGTACTACAATGTGTCTGGATACCAAACGTTCATCGCCGATGTCCTTAACACGTTTCTCGAGACAGCGCCCGATGGATCCACCGTCGACTTGCAGTCTGTG